GACTAGGTAGCTACGGCCTGCCAGAAGGATAAGGGGTATGCAGTGACTCCTGTCTGTGTAGATGCCTAAACAGGAATGGCAGGATAATAGGAAAAGGTGTGCTAGAGTTGCGAAAAAGCTAAAAGCAGATCGGTTGGGTCTAGTTGCTGGAGAAGAGTTGGTAAATAACGTAGGTGTACCTACAGGAGAGAGGGCGGGGCGAACAGAAAGGAGGTAGTGGTTGACCAGCTGGGTTGGTGGTTCCCCGAGTACGCCTGTGGTAAGCCATGAGAAATGACAGGACTGACTGACCATCCCTTGATTGTGTCTACTGAGGAGGCTACGGCTACATCTCTCAGCAGGGGATTCAATGAAGCACCTCCCCTCAAGGTGAAAAAGTCAGACTCGAGCCCGATGTCAGCTCTCTGATGTGCCATCCTAGTGGGATTTCTGCCAATGACCATCATGTCGCATGCAAGGTTAGTTTATTTGCGTGATTCGCCTGTCGGATTATCTCGTAGGCCATAATAAGGTCAACCCTTTTTCTGCAATGGCCCGAGATAAGCAGTTTTAGGCGCCATAGTCTTTTACAGTATTCCTCTTCCCGTAGCCCGCAAGTGATTTTAACGCAGATCTTTGCTTTTCTGAAGGAAACGAATCTCTCTTGACTTTCTGGAGTGCTACCGTATTGAAGCGCCCGGGTGAGCTCCTATGTGGGATATGAAAACCGCGAGAAACAGCCCAGGGATGAGGGCACCAAACTTTCTCCCCAGAAAGCGTAAAATGGTGAACACTGTGCTCGTCATTCCCTTGTGTTTAGAGCTGGTATTCTAAGTACACCTGAAGTTGAGCCCATATGTTTTCCCATGAATACTTTGGTGATAACGAAGTTGCTGGACTAGCGTTGGGACTCGGAAGTCGTTGCTTCGTGAGCACTGATTTGCATTACTTTGCACCCTGCCAGGTTGAAGCTCAAGCCACTTCCCGAATACCAGATTTCTATCAGCTGCAGGTCAGTTTGGCTGTGAAACCGGCCTCTTCGTTTAACAACCTCTAAATTTTAATATCTTCTGTGAGGAGGGGGATGGATGAAGAGACTCTGTGTGGCAGATCGTTGACAAACATGGGGAACAGAAGTGGTCCTACGATTGCTCCTGACGTCGATGACCTCCACTCCAACCATATCCTGTTTACCATGATGCAGAACTGTCTTCTAGGTTCTTTTTGAACCAGGAGAACGGAGGTTAGTTCATGGCACCTGACTCGATCTCGTAAAGTGGGACTGCGACCATGAGATTTTCAATCCTTCGGTTAGGTAGACAAGAAAAGCATGTGCTGCCAATATAGGAGTAAAACCTGGGTAGCGTGGTAGATTATAATTCCATTTTAGCCCGTTTATTAGATACGTCACATAGTGAAGCAGTAAACGATACCGTTCAACTGTGTGACACCCACACGAGCAACCCAGGCATCCTGTAGCAATATGCCATGGGATAGAACGTCTGTGAGGGGGGAATGTGAGTCGGATTGGATGGGAAGTAGTCTGGGAGTGGAGATGGACTTCAGGCGATCACGGTCTCCGCAGCCTGCTGACGCTGTTGGGCGGCACACTTAAGGTGGCAACTTGATATGAAAGCCATTACCACTGTTGGATGTCATGAAGATTTCAGTATTTGGCAGAGCCGTCGCTTAGCATTTCTGGGATTTTATTTAGAACCACAGAGGTGTTTCTTCTAGGATTCCCAAAGGCAGATCTCTGTCTTCCTCTCTCAATGACCATGGTTCGTTAGGCTCGGCTGGGACTTTATAGGTGTTGGCAACTTCCAGTTGGCGTGGAGGAAGGTTGTCTCCGGCTTCTTTTCTGGCTTTCAGAGATACTCGTAAGGTTGGCGACTTGTCTCGGGGTGCCCGGCTACCGCGAGAAAAACTACATCGTCCAGGGTAAAAGGGGGTCCCATCACCTGACAGCAGTCGACCCATGCTAAACCACCAACTAGTTCTCCTTGACCGATGATCAGTCTGTTGATACATAGCCGACGAACAGTATGATCGAGGTGGCCTTTCTGCTGCTTGCGTTCATCATGGGCGACATATGTTTCTCAGTGGGCTCGTTATGCAATTTTCCCCGCTGTTTCCTGGCTACAGTGTTTAAGGTTCTCATGCTGGGTTTCGTCAAGGGCCCTGAGGACGGTATCTACTTCCATCTGCTTGACTTTCTCTGTGATCAGGTAGGGGAAGGGAAGCAAGACCCAAAGTGACCCTGTGCAGCGGCGTGAACGTGGCCACAGAACCGGCTTTGTTTCCAACCTCCTTAGGGTTACCCTTTACTGTACGTTGTTCGAACAGGTTGGTGGCTTTTGTGCTGTGGGGAACATCTCCTTTAGGTCTTTTGTGTGGAAAAGGAGGTGCGCCAGAACCACTTGCATGAGTACTACTTTATGAGCTAATAGCGCTCTCGTGGTACTTTGTAGTCACACTGGCAATGTCCCTATCCATGATATAATTGGCATGGAAATGCCTCGTCAGCTACCGGTACAACTTCACTGCGAATACTTCGGTGGTCGAACCTCTTAGTTAACCTACCCTGCGTAAAATAATGCTATAGTTCGAGGCGAACTGTTTTTGGCTACCTCATTCCCTCACTTGCCTCGCCATCCACATCAGTGCATAAGATCTACCATCCTAGACCGGCATGACAGTGCGGTAAACAAGGATCTATTAGTTGTAGAGGGTTGAAGACTGAGTGCAGCAGAAGGACGGAACGCATTTAGGGACACTATCTATCCTGGCTTGTCTTCAGGAAACTGTCACTTGGTTCTCTGTACTTAACCAACTAGAACGTGGACCTCAGTGGCATGTATAGAACTAGGGGTGGTGTTTCCCGTGGAATGATCTCCGAAGATAACTCAAGACTAAGGCAGCTGGATGGCTAGAACAACCTAAAACCGCTGACAGGAGTTAAACTGGTGGCTTTGAAGAATTAATGATGCTAGTTTTCTCCTGTTGAGAAGTATGTTAACGAATAAGCGCAAGTCACGTATGTGCAACTACACAAGTTCTGCAAAATTCTGGCTTTGACAGATGAAATATTCCAAACAAGGGTTTTCTAATGTAGGACCGTACATGTCATTACTCGAACCGCGTAATAAAAGCACGAAGATTCAAAAGATAGCAGCAAAAATGACTCTTGTTTACGCCTAAAATCTGCATTTCCTCGTCACTAGTAAAAGAAGATAGCAGAACTATCTGCCAGTACTAAATAGGTCAAAGCTCTTAGTCAGATATCCATGGAGTTTAACCAAAGAAGGCATGTCCTCAAATGTCCCTTTCACTGCAATATTGTATTTCAGCGATGTATCATTTGAAGCTGCGTCACTAAAACCCTAAGAAGGTACAGCAACTGATCACATACCTATAAAAACCACCAGGATTCGCGCACAGTCCTGTAGTGTTTCACCATACTGAATCATTTCTTCAAATACAAATCTGGCTGCCTTCTTTTACTTCTCCACTGCATCCATATCCTCCTACATATCAAATGACAATCCTTGACCAGAAGTGCAAAGCCTCCCGCAAAGGGCTTCATTCAGTAGTCATCAGATTCTGTTTCGATGTTAATCCGGTATATGTCGTAGGGTGGAATCATTCTGTACCTACCTAGTGGTCATTTTAGGAGGAGGACGTCTGCACAGTCATGAGCAGCACAGGTGTAATCCCTGTTTCCCCATAACACAAACACGTGCAGGATGGTGATTGCAGTCGAATACGGGTGCGGCTTTGGGTACTGACTTCCACCTGACTTTCACTCAGACTTTAAAAAAGGTCCATGGGTCATTTTAAGTGACACCCCTTAAGCGCGGGCTTATGGTCGTCATGCATCCAACGAGGCACATAGAGTTCCAGCTTCTCTCTCCAACTCTGGGAATTACAACTTCAACCCCTTACACTTCACTATACGGACTTTATGGTAGTCCCCATTTACAGAAAGACTCCCTAACTACGTCCGTATATTTGGAGAAAGATATATTCATCCTAAAAAGAGTTCAAAGAATTGGTACTAAACGGTGACTGAGCTGCGGTATGAACCTTCTCCGGATTGCTTAGTTGCTCTCAAGCAGTATCCCGTACAGTAACGGAGGACGGAAACGGATATGATCATGGTGCATCACTTCTCTTTTCGTCCTCTTCACCTTACGTACTGCACCTACGCTCTCATCAGAAATGCCACCTCAGATTAGAACACGATGGAGCATATACTTTGATCCATGATGGCCAGTTTGAAGTTAGAGAATTTAAACTGCGGACTGCCTTACTACAAACATTGTCAAGGTCCCTTGTGCCGATTCCTTCAAAACGAAGTTAGATGCATGTATGTGGCATAAGTGCGTTGTACTCAGGAAGCCAACCGTCGTCTTCATGACATTGGGTAGCAGGACTACCAATAACATGTTGAATAATTGATTATACCTGCCCATTCAGGTGTCTTTGAACAGTGAAAACAATAGACCACTACAATCAAAGGTGTTCCACAAATACAGATGCAGAACCAGTTTTCTTACCATTGTAACCACTTAAGCCCTTTTCACCTTTTCCGCTTGCCATAAGTTAGACTCACTCACCTAATTTCTTCATACCTTTGCACCCCTACTCACCTTACTCAGGTGTAAGTAGATTACTCCATTAGTTCACTTTTCCTCTTTTCTTTTACTCATACAAACACTTTCTAGGTTTTCTATTCACTATCCCCAACCCTCTCTAGCGACTAGTTCTAACAACTGTCTGGCAACTTGACATCTGAAGAAGCCAACTGCACCACAGTCCAAAGCAAACAAACCAACACTTAACTTCCTGTTCTGTAAATCAGAGCTATAGCAGACGAGTGGTTGGACCTACTCGATCGGAATCCGCCAAAGATCTGGAGCCGTTCCGCAAGACCAAGAAGTGAGCGCGAAGAAATCAACTGGTTTACACAAGCTCGTCAAAAAGATATTGGATATTGGATATTTGCTATTCCTGTAACGCGAAATTAAGAGTGGTTACACACTGTAACTTCTTACCAAAACAAGTAGAAGAAGCTCCCTCAGTAGAAACGTTGAAGTGAAAACTTGATTTCCATGAAGGTAATTACTGCAACGACTAACAATTTCATAGCTTACTATAAGTTGGAGGATGAAGCTGAATTCTCTCGATGCGCCTAATCCAAACCCAAGGCCATGCTTTCTATTTTTAGTGCAATTAGAGTTGCCTTCTTCGAATTTCTCTGTAAAGGTATGTTTATCATTACCGTCATTAATAGAAAACAGAACCTTTGATTTTAACCACAAGCGGGTGTATAATATGCCCTTCTTTAGTATTGGGACCACTAAAATCATGGGAAGATCAATTTTCTTTGCCGTGCCGAAGAAGCGCAGAACCGTAGAGCAAAGACGTATCCGGAAGTTTCTTTCTCGTAAGCTTGTTATTATTACATATAGTATTCACCAGTGCGCTCCGGGGATTATAATCCCAGAGAAGACCTGACGCCATGTAAATTTTGTGGTCACCTAAATCCTCGGGACTTCTTGTGCAGTAAGTTTTATTTTTATGATGTTCGGGATGTTTTCGGAATCCCAGTGTCTGCATTCCTTAACGGCTGTTGTCATGAGTGGCTGAATCGACTTAGTCTCTTTCCGATATCCTATCTTAAATTAACTCATATTAGTCTACCTTACTCAGTATAATGACCTGCTTGCTTGATTTTATAACATTCCTTCCTTCCCAAGCTTTTATCCTGAAAGGACGTCGTTAGGAAGTTTGAAACATGTAGTCGACTGGTGGATATTCGTAGGTCTGAACAATCCAGACTCTATCAAATCACTTAATACTTGCGTTTTTTGACCGGTGCTTTCAGATTGAAATCAGATCCCCACAACATTACCCACTATAAGTTTAATACTGGCCATAAACTTTTCTATGGGGACTGATAACGTTCAATATAATAAGATAGTTACAAGTGGACTGCAAACACCAATCATTTTCTCTCTTACAGTAGCTTACGGAATTCAAGATTGCTCTGTTATATTTTACATGTAGATTTCCAGAATTCGTGTTGTAATAATGGTTAGCTGCTAGTGATATTAGGAGGCTTATTAACATGAGTATTATTTATTTATTGTTCATCAGTAGATAATAGAGGCCAGGTTATGAGTTTAAGGGTTTTGGAGTTAAAAAGTAGGTGTCGAACAACAAAATATTCCAAAAGTAGATGTATTATCTAGTAACAATAACGCAACACTGTGTTCAAACCGTTCAACACTTTCGAAGCTTTTGCAAACGAACAAGTGACCTACATTTTTAAGACATTGTTTGACATGCTAATTTACCGTCTTCAATATGATTTGTCAGTTCACTAGGAAAGTACCTTCATATATCGAAGTTTCACTACTAAAGATTATCTAAACGCAATTCTCTTTACTAAAGCTGGCCATCTGACATAGATATTAGTCTAGAAGAGTTGTCATGCCTTTGGTTACTTAAGATATGGTGAGCTTTTTTCCGATATCGCGAAAGTTCAGACAAACAAAATCAACGTAGAACTTTTTACAGACGTGCATGAGTTCCAGTTGCCACATGTCAGAGTAGATAAAGGTGTATGAGATGTGACAAAATTTAGGACACCTATAGTCCAAAACTAGTAACCGGTTCACATCTACTTTTAATGCCTATCTCACAGGACGGCAAACTGCAACACAATTTACTCTTCCTTTAGTAGTTAGTCGGATGTCTCTCCAGGGTCACAGATGATGCAAGTTGGCAAATGCCAAACTGGCCGTTTGTATCTGAGTAGAAATTTCTTCAGCAACCAGCTCGTATGAGCTGATGTAACTTGGCAAAGAAATGAAGTGGTCGACATATTCCACCACTTAACCTCATCCATAATTTAGGAGTAGTTGCAGAATATTCTTGGAGCATCATCTTATATTTGACAGGTGAAAAACATGTGCCAAACATTCTCAGACTTCTGCTTAAGGGGTTCAGAAGACCCTGCATTGTTAGCGTCTTCACCTAGCATAACAATATTGTTTGCACACTAAGTCAACTGGCTGTCCTCCAGCGAATAAATCAATCCCTGTAAAGTCAGATGTACCTGTTATACCCTTCAGTACACCTATAAGGAAACTAAATAGGAACGGTGAGTGGGCATCCCTGGGGGACACCACTAGTTGTCGTCAATCCACATGACAACGCTCCAAAAGTCCTGATGTAGCCGCGTGAGTTCGAGTAAAAAGCTTCGGTTAGCGTTATGTACTTGCTTGGTACTCCCTTCACAGTCAAACACTGCCACAACACCTGAAGGTAGACAAAGTCGATTGCTACTTTCAGGTCAAAGAATATGGCAAGTGTCGGCCACTGGTAAGTATGCCTAAGTATTGCCTATTTACCTGTCGAACGATGAAAACCTAGTCGATGCACTCTCATTCAGGTCTCTTTAAAACCTGCTTGGTTTTCTCGAGCTTCCTGTTTTCGAGCTCCAGTCACGTGCTGAATAACTGTGAGCCCAAGGATCTTGGATACGTTCCTATTCCCGCATAGTTGTCGCAAGACGACTTCTCTCCATTCTCATTGACTGGGATGATCAGCAAAGTGGATGAGTCTGAAGACGCTGTCTCTAATTCCCATAAGCTACTTATTACCTCTGTCACTGCGCAGCCATTTCCTACATCCATCCTTAAAAACTCTGTGTGGTGAACTGTTAGGTCCAGCTGCTTTGCATCGTCTCAGATTAAAAACAGGTTTCTGAGCTTTGACAAGAACTGGAGGATTGACATCTACATCCTATTCAGGTCCAGGCTGGATGTTGGGCAACTGAAGTGTTGTTGAGGGCCAATTGAACTGTGCTCCAAAGTGTTCTGCCCAACGTTCTAGCCACCTGTCCTGGGAGTTTACCATAGCTCCACCCTTCTCAATGATGGTTTCATTAACCATCGTTTTCTTCTCGACGGTATCCTTAATAAGGTTAAATAGTTGCCGGATATTACCTAACGCTGATGCCCTCTCCATCTCTCTCGCTTGCGCTGCCCACCACCAATCCCGTTCTTTAAGAGGGCAGTCAATTTACGCTTAAGCTTGTTTCGCTCTTCATTGTGGTCAGCCGGCTGAATTTAGTCTTCTCACATCAGTCGGTTTAGATGACGTTGCGGAAATCTGATAACGTTTGCTAACCTTCGAGTGTAGGTTGCCAACTGTCTTTACCACTGTTTTCACAGCAGACTTAATATCACGCCTCATGTTTGGGATTGCTGTCACTTTCAGATGAGTACTCCGTTACGTCCTTCCTAAGTGCGTACTTAGTGTTCTCATCTAGTCGGACACAGGCTTTACTATTGCCTGTTTCCCACGATGATTAAGGCTCAGACAGACACGTGCCCGTACCGACATGTTATGGGAGTCCAGACTCCAGAAAGAGCGGATACCCTGTACTGATCCTCTCTAACAATGGCTTATAGCAATATAATCTATCTGTGATAAGTGAGTATTAGATGGTTGTCCAATGGGACCTGACGAGTATCTAAAGTTCTGTACCACGTTCTAAATTATTTCGTACCCCTTTGTCACACTTTGGAGGAAAACACAAGATTTCTAATGGAGACTACTTAAGAAGAATTCAGTCAGCTGACATAAGATGGTTTGAAATTTCAGACGTACCGTCCATACTGTCTCAAAGAAAAAAGTATCCATCAGGTTTTCTTACACCCGACCGATAGCTGCTACCTTGACGTGGTGGTCGGGCTTGCATATCACAATGACCCAACGAGCTATGCTGGTGGAACGCTTGTTCCCTCGAGGTCCTACCATACCAGAAAGGTCTGTTGGGTAGTGGTTAGACGAAAAGCAGTTACCGTTATAGTGTAAATTGCTACACTATGATGGGGGTCTGAGGGCGAAGTCGTACTGCTGCTAGCTGGATGGGGTGTGACAGCAGTAAGGTGTTTCCCTTGGATGACCAGCAGTGCCATGCTGATGCTGCCTTCTCAGTGGAAGGGGGGGTTAGAAAAGGTCGGCCCCAAAAATAACACACTCCACCAACCCCACGGTCTGCCGGGCCGGCGGTGTTGGTTCACTTGTCGTTTCCTTTCGACCATCCGGCCCCAAAAATACAAAAGTTCAAAATAATCATACTCAAAAGGCTGGGTGTGACAGGCCTCAAGCAGATGGGCTCTGCGGTCACACAAATCTCTTTCAGGTACCTTAAGAAGAAATAGCCTTCCACGGTGTGGGCAGCCGGGAAGTGTCAACCGCCCTCACAACTCTGTCAGCACCCAAGTTTCTTCTGACTGCTATCCTCCTCCTCCATCATTACCTTCTAATCTTCCTTCACGTCTCTTAATTAATGATGCTGCATCATCTTCAATTTCTCCTACCTCTGCAGCCTTCGACAACGATCTGAGTCCACAGAACAGCATCCCTGGTCTCCTTAAACCACGCTCCAAATTACATATTGGAGCCTTCAATGTCCGCACCCTCCGTCAAATTGGCCAACAGGCTTCGTTGGCAAAGACTCTAGCAACTCGAGGCATGGATGTGTGCTGTGTTTGTGAGACACGCATACAGGACCCAAGTGTGGTTATTCACCTGACCTCTCCTGACCAATCTGGTGAATCTGCAAAATTCACCCTTCGAGTTTCTGGAGATTCGATAGCTAGCTCTCGTGGTCTTGCAGGTGTAGGTATAGCATTAAGCACCAGGGCAGAAAACTCACTACTAGACTGGATCCCAGTTGATAGTCGCCTCTGCGCTATGAGGCTGAACGGCACAGTGAGAACTAAAAGGAATAGTGAGACTCGCCGTTGTCTCTTTGTAATCTCTGCTTACGCACCCACTGACTGTAGTTCGGATGAAGTGAAGGACGAGTTCTACCATAAACTGTCTAACCTCCTCTCGAAAGCCAAACGTTCGGACGTAGTGGTTGTTGCAGGTGACCTCAACGCACAGGTGGGTAGACTGAGTGAGGCAGAAAGGCACTTAGGTGGCACTTTCGGAATCCCAGCTGAACGTACAGATAACGGTGATCGCCTATTACAACTATGCTCAGATAACCGCCTATTTTTAGCCAGCACAAATTTCAGACATAAAGAAAGGCACTGTCTGACCTGGCGTCCACCGAGCTCGACTCAGCGATGGACACAGATAGACCACATTGCTATTAGTCATCGCTGGAGAGGATCGGTGGAAGACTGCCGCTCCTTCTGGAGTACGTGTTTGGACAGCGATCATGCGTTGGTCCGAGCACGTATATGCCTGCGTCTCAATGGACGTAGAAAAAATTTGGCAACAAAACCACTACGAGTTCTGCTGGACAACGAAAACACCAAAGCCGTGTTCAGTGAGAAGTTGGCTAGGCAGTTATCGGAACAAAAGACTGTCACTCATCCAGAAGAAGCTTGGTGCCATCTTCAGTCTACTGTAAAAGCAGCACTGGAGACTGTAGCCGACTCCAAAATAATGGCTAAAAAGAGCCAGTGGATATCAGCAGCTTCTTCCAAACTAATGGATGCACGTGAATGCATCCCTGCAGGCTCTGAGTACAATGAAGAGCGAGCGCAACTTAAAAATAGACGATCACGAACAGTGGTGGGCAGCAAAGGCTAAAGAGATGGAAAAGGCAGCGGCGATCGGTAACAGTAGACAGTTATTTAGACTTATTAAGGAGACTGGGGGGAAATGGTCAACAACAGTTAGTGAGGTTATAGCGGAGAAGGACGGATCTGCGATTCACTCGCAGGGAAGGCGACTGGACGATGGGCAGAACACTTTGAGGAACAGTTTAACTGGCCTCCAGCCACCATTGCGCTGCCCGCTATCCAGTCGGACCCTGAATGGGACATAGAGACAGGTCCCCCAACACTAGAAGAAGTTGAGAAAGCGGTAGGTAGCCTGAAACGGGAAGGGCAGCAGGACCAGACGGACTACCTGCTGAGGTATACAAGAATGGTGGTAGAGTTCTCTTAGTCAGGCTAACGGAAGTGTTAGCCAGTATATGGGAATCAAATACGATCCCCTCCGACTGGTCTAAGTCACTCATCATCCCAGTCTTCAAGAAAGGCGAGAAGTCCTCTTGTGATAACCACAGAGGAATCAGCCTGACAAACATAGTGTCTAAGATCCTAAGTTCTATAATTCTCCGACGCCTGAGTGGAGCTCGGGAACAGCAAGCCCGAGAAAACCAGGCAGGCTTTAGACCTGGCCGTGGATGTATCGACCAAATATTCACACTGCGCCAGGTCCTGGAACATAGGCATGCTTACAGACGCCCGACAATAGCTGTATTTCTCGACCTGAAGGCGGCATTTGACTCCGTTGATCGAGAAGTCTTATGGCAATGTCTGTCACTGAAAGGCGTGCCTAGTAAGTACATCACCTTATTGAAAGCTCTCTACTCGAACACTTGTGGGCATGTTAGAGCCTATGGTGAGTTGTCCAGGGAGCTATACTCATCAAGTGGTGTCCGTCAAGGATGCCCACTATCCCCATTCTTATTTAATTTTATCATAGATATTCTTATGGAGGTTTCCCTCTCGTCACCTAATTACACAGACGTTGACCCGATCACAGGTGAATTTTCCTTAGATCTAGAATATGCAGATGACATAGTCCTGTTAGGTGAAGACGCTGACAAGATGCAGAGTCTTCTGAACACTTTGAGTGGGAATTTGAGAATGTTTGGGATGCGATTTTCACCACCCAAATGCAAATTTTTGCTCCAGGACTGGTCTTCAGCGGTACCGCGGTTAACAATAGAGAGTGAAGTGGTTGAGTGTGTTGACCACTTCACTTACCTGGGAAGTAGGATCAACCCGGTGGGTTAGTTGCCGATGAGATTTCTGCACGGATACAAAAGGCTCGATTGGCTTTTGCCAATTTGCGCCACCTATGGCGCCGCCGTGATATTCGTTTGTCTATTAAGGGTCGCGTGTACTGCACAGCAGTCCGCTCTGTTCTACTGTATGGCTGTGAAACATGGCCATTGAAAGTGGAAGACATGAGAAGGCTTCAGGTGTTTGACCACCGTTGCCTTCGTAGTATAGGACGTATTCCGTGGTGTCACCATGTGAGTAATGCAGAAGTTAGGTGTAGAGTTTTAGGGAGAAGAGGTAAGTCAGTCGACGAGGTTGTGAACCTTCATCGACTGAGATGGTTGGGACACGTACTACGTATGCCTAGTCACCGATTGCCTCGTCACACAATGTTGGCTGAGGTGGGTTCAGGCTGGAAAAAGGCCCGAGGTGGCCAGACTAAAACATGGCACCAATGTATGAAGTCTCTGACTGTTGGTTTAAGCCATGTAGGACGATGCAGACTAGGTGGTTGGGGTCTGCTGGACAAGAGGAACCAGTGGTTGGAGACTAGGTGATATGGCTCAGAACCGAAGTCAGTGGCGCAGATGTATACACACATTATCCTCATCTTAACAACGCTATACCGAATCTCACCACTTTCTCATTCTTCGTTTCTCTCTTCTCGTACTTTATATTTCTTTTGACTGCATTTTCTTATCTTCATCCTTCACCTTACTACCTTTCTACTTGATGTACTGAAATGAGCTGCGGCAACTCGGACAGTTACGCAGTAATGCCTGGTCCTATGTTGATAATGATTGATTGATTGAGGCTTTCTTACATAAATAACTCAAGGTTTTGTCCCTTACCGCAGCCGTCATAAGAACATACTGTACAACTAAGGTCGGCGTCTCCAAAACTCTTTCAATATGAGGACGATGTTAAATTTCTCAGTACTCACCAACTCAAATATATATATGGTCATCCATAAAAACAAACTAAACTGTCTGATCTCATGGATTCCGGTGAAATATATCCTACATCCTCAACTGCGAAACGTGACTCTAAGATGTAAGATTGATGTCAAAACCAATTCGCATAGTCTTTTTGAGATGTATCCTAAAATCTATTTGAAAATTGGGAATTTTAAACTACCTTTGTGTACCTAAAGCAGTTTCTCATTGCATTATACTTTCTTGGTAGGTCGGTTTTGAAACTAAGTTTGCCGCACTGTTATTTCACTTTTTGTTGATTTTCATTATCACTTTCATTATCTTTTAGTTTCATACCCTTAAGTTCTTTAACTCTAACAATAAGAACTCGTCTGGTCTGATTTGTAATTTGTTGCACAGGCATACTGCAATAGTATGTATTATATTTTCCCCCTATCTTGTTGGTTTTTTATCAATAAAACTGGTTTTGAAGATACGCCTAAGCAAGTTTCTTTCTTACGTATTAAAGAAAGTTGTTAAGAATTTGAACAATGTATTTGGAAGATATTTAAGAGAGGGGTAAGAATACCACCTTAGCCAACATGTATATTTCCCCAAATAGACTTCTCTAGGACTGACTGAAAAAATCAACGTAGAACCTCTCACATAGGTGCATCGGCTCAAGTTGCCACTTCACAGCAGCACAGATGGAAAGAATAAAAGTGATGTCAAAGTAGACAAAGTTCTGTGATAAAACAAGCAGTTTAAAGATAAAGGTTAGTGCGAATATTCAAGCTTTAGAAGATGTCAGTGGGTGAATACATCTGCGCCAGTGACCGATTTTCAGCCATGTCACCAAGAATCCTCAACCACTGATTGCTTTCGTCTTGAAGACCAAAACCAGGCATTCTGCATCTCCCCACGCGACTCAGACCAATAGTGAGAGACTTAATCAACCGATACCACGTCTTGGTCTGGTCATCTTGAACCTCCTTCCAACTTAATCCAACTTCGGCTAGCATCGCACATGAAGGTAGGCGGTGGCTTGGTCTACGCAGTATATGTCTAACCCTTCTCAGTCAAAGACTGACAACCTCATCAATCGGCTTACCTGTCTTGCTTAGTACCCTTCTCCTGACTTTAACAATGGTCACACGGTGATTCCACCAAACGCGAACAATGCTACGAAGACATCTGTAATTACTTCGTGTCTTCTACTTTTAACGCCCAGGTTTCACAGCCTTATAACAGAAGAGAACGCGCTGCAGCGCAGTATACTTGTCCTTTGATGGATAGCCGGATATCTTGCCAGTCGGCGCCTTAAAGGAAGCAAGTTGGCAAATACGAAACGGGTCTTCTTTATCCGATTGATGGTGGATACATGCTCACTTTATATTACTTCAAATCTCTGCTGTCTTATTGTAAATCTCTTATGCTCCTTTCTATTCCGTTCCCACATAATATTTTGTCCACCGTTGGGACTGTTGTTTCCTCTTTTGTGTTCAGCTTAAAGTAATGTGCGGCTTATTGTCTTTTCCATCTGTCTAACAGAATAACCTTTAAGTTTTGTGAGTGATAAATACAAAGCATTATTTGTTAAAGATCTGAAACATGCCTGAAAAAATATTTCTGTCGATAATCTAGGTTTTCAAATCCTCCTAAATGCCAGCATAACTGTAACTTCTCAACTTACGCTTTTGACTTAGCCACACTAATTAGGAGTTTTAGCTTCACGTGACTTACTAAGATTCGCGTATCCAGGTAGTATCGCAGCTCTTGCACACTAGTTTTGGCTTGTAACGTATTTGGTTAGAATGAAGTTCGCAGTCATCAATCAACATTCCCACATGTGATAATAACACCATGGTAGGACCATAAGATTTTCTAACTGCACTTCTATATATGATATATTTATTGACCGGGACATGCCTTTCTTTTTCAAACTTCTTCAGCAAATTGTTACAGCAAAGTACGACAGGAGACTAACTTTTTACGTTCCCTTATCAACAGTCGACTCCCAAGTGATCGGGAAGTACAGTTTGTCTACGACAACGAAAAAGGGATTGATGAAGCAGATGGTACTGCAGATGTTAAAGTTTCTGGATCTAGACCTTCATGGTTTCCATCCGTTTTACGAAAAAGCAAATCTTCAGATGGCGAAAATTCATAAATCTATTGTATATTAATAAACTATTACTAACATCTCTTTAGGTTCCATTATTTATAAATTTTTGAGCATACTCTACATTTTCCTGCATTTGCCTAGTCTGTAGAAAAAGTGGATATGTAGCTCATCGGCTGAAGCATCCAATTTTCAAGCAGTGTTATAGTTTCAGGCCCCAAACTGCCTATTTAGGTCTGGGTAGCCAGTTAGTGTCATAAACCATCACATTATATTTGGCTCACAATGTAGTGCATAAACTCATACCCGGTCAATTTATGTGATAAATAATATTTTTCCATACCACTAAATTCAGTGTGCAGTATTGTGGACGTTGAAGATCCAAGTAGTTTATACTTGAACTCATTCTAAATAGTTATACCTACTCTCCACTTAGGGTGATAGAAATCATCTTTTGCAGTTGCTTCGTCAAGTTCAAATACTTGGAACTTCCCCTCTTGATCCTACCATTATAAGGTTTGTTAGAGATTTTTAATGACGTAATGTAACGACCCCTTAGTATTCTCATGTCTTACAAATGACTTCTGCATTGTAACGTATTTGATATCAAGGTAGCTTGACGCTGTTAGACATTACAAAACACCTCACTCCCAGGATTTGGTTTCAGAATGCAGATAAACTTACTAACCAGATATACACAGGAACCCTGTATAAACAGACGTATATTATGCCTTAAGGTCCACTCTTCTTACTCATCTGGATTGGCCAGATGAGAATGCTAATTCACATTTCACTCTAGAAATTCATGTATTCTGCAAACGTACATTAGGTCTCCTGATTGTAGTCTTTCTCATGGATATCTCTTTCTTCTGCTACCACAACCCCTTTTCTTCCTCGGTAGTCAGCAGCAGGTTTTGTGTTCCAAAGCAGAGTTCCAAAATGCAGACCAGCCTGTAGTATATAGCCCTAGTGTGAATTGAGTCGATGATCTTTGGTGACCAAAAGCCAAATATTCAAAGCCATAAATGGATATAATTTTAAGAGAAATACAAGATCCTATTAGTTAATACCAGCCTGAAACCATGATACACTTAAGATGTGGCGGTGATCGAACGTCTGGAATTTTGTCTTGCCCTTAACGGCTACGTTTTACAGCAAGACTATAAGTTGGTCCGTTTGTATATACGTTGCAGCTATAAAACAGAATGGAATAGACTGCTGTGCAGGACACTTGACTCTTAATAGATCTAAGTATATTAGTGCAATAATTTGCCTAAGTTCGTGGGAGCCAATTAAACCTTACGAATATGTAACGAGAGTTCATCTGTAATCGACACACCGAGGATGATCCAACTTTTCAAGAAAGTGAAATAGTTAACGTTCTCAACCACATCGTTCCCTGTCGACAATCAAAAGCCTCGTTCAGGTCAAGAAATGCAACTGGTTTCGGACAACTTTGTATCATTTTACTCCAGTCTCATGGAGAGTTAAGATCCGCCCAATATATTTATACGGACAAGGTTTCTTGAGTTTGCTATTCCTGATCTCTACTCAAGTTTTATGATTACAGAATCTCAGGCACTTTGTCGGTTACGCGAATTCCCCCATAGTTATCAGAAAAATCCCCTTTTACTTGAAAATCTGGATGATTAGTGGTTGGTAACAGTCTAATAACCCCTGATCACTTCTTACTTTAGCCTATTATCACCTACTCCCCTTCCTCGTTTCAGATTAAAAACAGTCTTCAGCTCAACCATAGAATCCTATATCATTCAGGTTGCCACTGGATAGAGGGCAAATGTAGAGTATATGGAAGCCAGCTGAATTACCATGTCTATCGTTCTAGTTGTCTCTCCTGTTTAAGAATTCTAGATGCATTTTACGCTATAAGTCCCACTACCTGTGAGCTTTACCACTTGCCGCAGTAAGTCTGGTTAATTATATTCAGTCGCACATCGCTAATGCCTCCTTCATCTCTGCAGCCTTTTGCTACTCACCACTGCTTAATCATTACATAGACTGTTCAATCTACATCTAAAGTGCTTCCTCTTGTACACGAAGAGCGCAGGATAGCATTCATATGCATTCGTTAATTCAGATGAAGCCGTTGCAATCTTGATATGATCATTCTTTTGCAGGCAATATAATAGCCTTGTAGCATGAAACCTGAAGGTTTTCGAGAATCCGAAGACCAGTTACAGCAAATTTGCTTACGTAACGAATATCTTCAATCAGAGGACAGAAAACCGTAGTTCATTGGTCGTCGGTAGCCTGGCTTGTTGTACGACGGATATCACATCTCGGTAACACCATTTCTGTCCATCTGGATATTATAGGACTGGACTTTAAAAATGCGGTAGGTACATTCCGCTAGTCTCCTCATCCGTTCCAGTTAAATACGCCTGATCACAAGTGTCTTTTCACATTTGATGTCACAGCCACATTTTGAGTAAATATAAGTAGGGTTGGAAATTCTTTTAGACAGTTCGAATCATGTAACAAGAGCAGCTAAACTACAACACACTGCTCATTGTTTTACGTATGCCATCCTAGCAGATCACAATGAACCTAATTTGTTCAAGCTTGCTGGAAGATGGAGGCAGCAATGACTTGGGACCATGGGAAGGAGAGTTTTCACATTTAGTTAAAATTATTTGATACATTCAACCGGCTTGTGTGTGATGATTTCCAAACATTAGACGAAACGAAATTTGATAGAAACTTCGTGTGCTACCTCTGTTTTCTTCACGACCATTTTACTTAATCTTCATTCGTCTGGTATGATACCATGCGATTCCGTGTGGTACTCCTAAAATAAATGTATACTTCTTCAACTGCGACTGATCCTGAGCCATACTGCCCCTAGTTTCCAATGATTAACCAGGAAGTCTACCTTTCTCTGAATGGCTTAGACAAATAGAGATTGACACAATGTCTGAGTCTGGTCGCCTAGTACCTTCACTCTAAATCCACTTCAGACAGCTGTGCGACGCAGTAGACGGTAACTAAGCATGCGCAATGCATGTCTCAGGCATCTGAGTCGATGAAGGTTTACAACCTTATCCACTGACTTACTTTTTTTGCCTAAAACTCTACACATAACTATGTAACTACCTGACATCACGATCAAGTCTGACGATTTATGATTTATTTGAATCTCATTATACTTATTAAGAAAACGACTAATAGAAGTATTTCCTTAGAAATCAAAATATCGGCAACATTTTAGAATCGGGTTTCCCGATGATCGATTTCTTAGTGCTTTTTTTGTACCTGACTTTTGTTGGAATAAAACGGTGACCGTGTAACCTCAGGATTTGATCCCGAGATATAATTTACGCAGTTCATTTTTGCAGTTGTCATTTACAACAGGTTTAACTGGCCATCCAGTGAAACAGCTTGCTAATACAGAAGCTGAACAGCCTTATTTAGCGTTAATGCTCCCCTTTTGCCATATATAAATTTTTATTTGAACTAATCCAGCATTGTGCGATGAGAAATAACCAAAGTTGGTTATTTTTTGGTTTTGGCTTATATTGGTAATGAAAATAGATCAACAGCATTCTGATAGGTTGCTTCTGCTAATTCTTCTTCACCCATACTTTTCAAACCAGCAACAACTTCTAGCACTTGAACAAGATTAGCTGGTTCATTTCGTCCTTTCACCATACAGGATGCGTCCCAAGAGGTATGCTTGCGGTAAGTAGGATGTGTCTTGACAAAAGAATAACCTAGACATTAGGTATGAGAACAATCATTTTTTGATTACCTGCGTGAGTCCGTCTGATATCACACCATGGAGCATCGGTTTCCAATAGTAGTCGATCAGTTGGAATTCTTTGCACCACCTGTAAAAAAACAGATAAGTATGTTTAAAGTAATACAATTTTAAGGATTTCCAAAATTCGCTTATAAATAATCCTCGTGACAGAGTGGGGTCTAAAATGTTATTGTTGGACAGGTAAAGAAGATATATTCGCTGTCAAATGAGATACGAAAAATCAGTACCTGTGGAAACACCCGAGTTTGCCCGAAATCGAATGCTGGAAGATCATTAATGTAAGAGTAGATTTTTGCCACTATTGTAGGATACAATTCCATACTGAATAAACTTGTTTGATATACATATACCACACACGGAAACAGTAAGTCTTACTGGATGACATTTTGAGCACAAATTATTACTTACAATCGAATCAAGTTAATTACACAACCTTTAACACCTGGTTTGTAGTGTTCTGTCATTCCTTGGTTGTAATAGTAACAGAACTTTGCATATATCCGGGATGGGTGTAGTGTCATTCCTATGAAACGTGGTTTTCTTTTTTTAAGTTTTAATGTGTAGGTATCCACCCATTGACATCTGCCATTCTTAGCATCCTCTTTGTACTGATCAGTTGCAGAGTCCCTAGTTTAGCCATTTACAGACAGACAAGTCTAACGTTTTTACTTCTGAATAATAAATAACCTGCTCCCCTGAGCACTTTCCACTATCTAACGTGTTTCCTTATTTTTCTTTGGTTATCAGTACTTACTCGTGAGTAAGGGCATTAACTAGTTTCGTACTGGCGTACATTAGTTTATGTAAGACCGACAATGTATTGGGCAATATGAACACAACTGGCCTCTTACGGGTTTATCATTACAAACCTATCTAATCTTCTGTGCACTAAAACCTTGACTGATCTCGGTTGATTCGTTTGACCCATACATACATGACCCACCAATGGTATTCGATAGGCAAAGTGATTTTGGGTTAGCAGGATCTTGAAGCAGGTAAAGCTCCTTTCTGAGTGAGTCTGTAGGTATAAAGATCACTCCAGTTCCTGTTGTTTAGAGAATTCTACGTAGTTTCTTAAATTCTGTCTTTGTATGGTTACACAACCGTGGTCTTGAATTCCCTCCTAGCTGTTTTCTTCTCTAATTTGGCTTACTGCTTTCTCGCTCGACATTCTGATAAGAACGTTACGGAGTAAGGCCTAGTACTATGTTGATCTTGTCCATGTCTTAGCTGTTACAATCATTATTTACACTACTGTTATTTACTTTCTTATTTGTTTTGATCACTCCTGGATTGGATGAACTATAGGGACAGCAATACAAGATATTCCAGTGATACACACTAAAAAATTCAGGAACTTGAATAGTTTGAAGGTGGTTACTGAAGTTACTTCGAAGATCACCGGAAAGCAGAGTTCTTCAGTGGTAGGTGGAATTTCGATTAAGCGTTATCGGGTTTAACGCAGAGCATATAACTACTCAGCTACTGGGTAGTTGACTTTTAGTGATTAACATTGGGATACATTTGAATTACCACTGGGTAATAAAGACGATAACTCTCTTCTACTATGAGTCCTGGAGTAGTTTGTGATAATCTGCACCTCACTGATAGGTACCAACAAGTAAATTACACATACCTAGGACTTATGGTCATTCCTTTCATAATTAAACAACAGTGAACCAAATGAATGGTCACGAATAACATAGCTGTCCACGAAGAATTTGATTGATTTGTTGATTCATTCCACAAGCTTACCCTTCGAACAATCCTAACCTCATAGTTATCAACATTTAGAAAACCTTTCGCCTTCTGTCGAATCGTAATCTAACTCTTGTTAACACTACCACTTACTATCTATATCGTCCTAGTCTATACTTTGGAATAAAAACAGTCGTAATGTGCGAGACGAAGAATAACAGGCATTTAGTCGCGACTAAGTACTTTATTCATATTGTATTCCAGAGACATCCAGGAACTCTGGATGAATAATAAAATTAACTGGAAATACGCAGAACATGAATGCTGACCGAAATCATTGTGTAAAAACAGCCAATCAGTGATCAACTTTTCGGCTTTAATAAAATAGTTGGACTGGTTTGTGAGCCACATTCACTCTTTAGGGGTTGACTAGACCAAAGAAGGTGGGAAAGCTATGGATCTTAGATCCAATGTTTGATATTCAATTAGCTATATATCTACGATTTCAAACTTTATCTATCTAGCCAACATTCAAAATACATGCAAACACCTGTCCTCATTCTTAACTTGAACGTATATGATATAACTTCCTACCGAACATGTAGATAATCCACGTCGAAAAGAGTTACTAATGTGTAGAAGAAAACTATTCAACTACGGGTATCTCATGTTAAACGTGTTCAGAGACACCTATGGTTAAAAAGTTACTCCTGGCAGTATAAATTTAGTCAGGAATAGCCAACTGCTAATAGAGATGTGTCATATTTCCATTTTTTTGAATTTTTTACACTTTACGCTGTCGCAAACTGTATCGATTTACTTTCATGTTAGGGATGTGCATTGACTTATCTATTTGGTTTGCAAAATAAAGCCTTTTTAGTACAATATAAGAAATATGTATACAGCACAGTTGTACTCGAAGCAATACCTTTTATCGACTCAACATAATGGTAACTGACAGCTAAAATCTAGTCATCAAATGGATGTTATGAACTGTGTTACGTTGTTTCACATCCAATTATGCATATACATTTGAATTAAAGCCACTAATCATGTATACATTTATGTAACAATGCAGGCGATTTAGAAGAAATTATACTAACAATGACATCTTGATAGTGGAAACTTTATATCTTACTTCTAAGTTGGCTTGGTTTTTTAAACTGCAACCATTAATACCAATATATAATCCCATATCAATAAAACACTTGGCTGTTATATGTGTACCATCAAATGAATGAACAACACCTTTTAATGGAGTGTCTGTAAAGTATCTTTCCTTGGCGTCGTTCATCATACTCAAAAGGTCTTCATGTGCAGCTCGACAGTGTAGAAACATAGGCAGTTTCACATCACTAGCTAATTTTAGCTGAATGTCAAAATACTTTTTTTGAACATCTCTGGGACAAAACTCTTCCCTAGGAATTAGAAATTAGTGACCACCTGTAGTTACCGATCATAATCGAGACCGCATTCACCTACAGCCACAACTTTCTTTCTCGTCGTTAGAATAAGATTTTTCAGTTTCATAAGATAGTCATCTGGATTTTCACTGAATTCCAAACACCTGGTAGGATGACAGCCGACTGTACAAAAGAGATCCTTGTCAGTTTCACATAAGGCAATAGCCTCAGCACTATCAGCAAGCGAGCCTGATTTCGTATATCGCGTAAAAGATATCAAGAAAACTAACCTCCAGTTATAATTATTTTCTCCACACCACATTTTCTGGCCCGACGCAACACATTTTGATAATCATTTTCATGGTGAACTACGCCACGGTATATTCCTGTGAATACTTTGTCAGTTAAGTTAGCACCGATATCAACAAGTCGTCTGGTCGACATACTTATTGTTCATTGAGTAGGTCACCTGAAGAATAACTACTACTTCAGATAATTGCCTAGAATAAGAATAGATAACGACAGTCAGTGAATGAGCAGAAAATTTAGACAGTAACAATGAGCAGTTGAAATATATCAACTTTTTGGTGGACTAAATAGCGGAAAACTTTCGAGACAATATAAAAGAAGTTGAATTACTATGAAGTGTTCATCACTGATCTGTTTCGAGATGGATTTCTCAAAGTTTTAATGAGTCGTGACCTGTACGGTTAACTAATTCGGAAGCGATGCTGATGATTACTAATGAAATGGGATGATAAATAGTCACGCTATATATCAAGCTGACAGGATTGGACTCCAATCCAGCTGCTGAATAACTAAATGTCTGCTATGAGATGTGACAATCCCAGGCTCAAAACCACCACTTGGTTGCAGGTGTGTACTGTTGACTGCCAAATTAAGATGAAACAGAAGTCTAGTGATTCTCCAACAGATGTCAATCCATGATGGGAATTACTTCCTAAGATTTAACTATTTCAGTGGGTCATAATGATTAGATGGCATCATATCTTGGTAATTCAGCCAATCAATTACACCGGTTACATATCAGCTGTAAAGATATGGTCCATTAACTTTAGGGTTTAAAAGTGGGCAGTCTATCAGTTATCATTTACCCGTAATGAAAGTGTGGTCCCTAGCCTAATACATAAATTTGTACTCAGCTGATTTGGATGAACAACTAATTACATAACACTAACTGTAGGAGAAATCTAAGAAGAGGAATCGCCTGTAAGACATGAAGACTTATCTTCCTACATCAAGAGAGTGGCACTTTTAGAAGTGTATGTAAGGCATTCTCAGTTGTTACTATCCTATAAACGCGTACTCTGTGCCACTACCCCACATCTTGTTACCATCAAAACAATCTAGACTGCCGTGAAGACCTAAAATAATAGTGAAATTTGTCATCATTTTTTAATCTATTTACACACCTGACTGCAGTTCGGATGAGTTCTACCGAAAACTGTCTGGCCTCCTACTGAAAGCCAAACGTTCAGACTTCATTGTTTTAACGGGTGATATCAATACACAAGTGGGTAGGCTAAATCAAAGAGAAAGACACCTAGTTAGAACATTTGTAATCCCAGCCGAGAAGACAGATAACGGTGATCGTCTGCTACAACTGTGTCCAAACAAATTTTTATTTCTGGCCTGTGCGAACTTCAGATATAAACAAAGACACTGTCTGACGTGGCTTCCATCGACCTCAACTCAGCACTGGACACAGACCGAACATATTTCTGTCACTTATCGCTGGGAACGGTCGGTAGAGGATTGCCGATCTTTCTAGAGCACGTGTTTATTTGGACAGCAACCACGTGTTGGTCCGAACAGGCTTGTATATGTGCTTAAATGGACACAGAAAACCTATAGCAACAAGACTATGGCGAAGGCAGCCCGGCGATGAGAACACTACAGATGCTTTCAGCGAGAAACAATTATAAGAACGGAATCACTCATCCAAAAGAAGCCAACCTTTATTTCCAGCCTGCCCTAAAAACAGCGCTGAAGACCGTAGCCGATTTTCGGAAAGTGGTTAGAAGGGCGAGTAAATCCCGAAGGCTTCGTCTAAATTATTGGACGAAGGTAAAGGCATCGCCGTAGACTCCGAGCACAGTGGGTAGCCGAAGCAACTCCAATGCAGAATGAGAAACAGTCTAAGCAGTTGTCGCGAACAGCAGTAGACAGTGAAGTTTAGAGGTGGAAAAGGCCGCAACCATAGGTAACAGTAAAGTTATTTTAACTTATCAAAGAGACTGGGACAAGAAAGTTAGTGGAGAGGGATGGGTCTGGGCTTCATATACTATCCCATCGCCCGTTAACCAGTCGGATCCTGAATGGAACTTAGAAACAGACCCCCAGAACTTACAGAAATCAAGGCTGTAAGCGATTTGAAGTAGAGAACGGCAGCAGGGGCAGATGGAATAGTACCCGAGGTAGAGAAATACCAGTCAGATTAACTGGTGTTTGACTGACTTGCCTCGACCACTGATTGTCCGTTTTCAAAGAAAGGTAAGAAGTCCTCTTCTGATAACCACAGAGGAATTAGCCTGACAAACATAGTATCTAGAAATTCTAAGTTTCAGAATCACTAGACGTCTGAGTGGACCTCAAGAAAAGCAAACTTGAGGAAACCAGGCAGGCTTCTTACCTAGCCGTGGGTATGTCAGTCAGATGTCCACCCTCCACGAGTTTCCGGAACACTGGCCCACTTACGGATACCGGATGTATTTCTCGACCTGAAGGTGATATTCGACCACGTCAACAGATTGGTCTTTCACTGAAAGGAGTACCGCGTAAGTACATCAATTTGCTCAAGGCCCTGTACTCAAACATATTCTGGTGAAACTGTGTGAATAGCGGTTCTTCCGGAAGATAGTCAACATAAAAAGTCGTCCGAAAAGCTGGTAGACGCTTACGAAATTCACATAATTGAAGCTGAGTCGAATTAGAATATTAAGTTCACTGTTCATAATACGCTTACTTAGCTGGATGTCTCATTTGTTACTCTATATTCTTAAGAGCTGATTTAGTAGTGGCTATTATAAATGAATAACGCAAAAGAAGTTGCTTGTATATTGAAGTCGGTGTACACTCATGCAAGCAAGTAAACTACCGTTTTGGAAAACTTGTTGGTGACTAATTACTTTAACTGATGCCGTCAGAAGTTTCTAAATTTCTGTTATACGCTAGTAACTCATGTTACAATTTCACTTTAAGCAGATGGATGCTGAACTGGACGACATATGACGAAGAGGAACGGCAAATGGCCTTTGCAAGTTTCATTAGTGCTATTCAACAAGATATATAATTTCCTACATACTGAAGTTTTTCTGAAATGACAATCTTAATAGTGTGAGATAGCGGAACACGTCAAGGTGGACCTACTTACGGGGCTCATGATCTCAGTTGCTGAGTGCGTATGTACAGCAAACAGTAAGATAATTAGGACAAATTCCCGAAAGGCGCAATAAGAACAGGTGTACACAAGTCAGAAGTTCTTATTGGAACAATGAAAATAAAGTTAATTACAAAGAAGTATTCGGAGTTTAAAGTCTTCCTTTAGTTTTTTGCTTCGTCATCATCTTCAAATTTTGTGTTCGCGATATTTATCTTTCCTTCAACATGGCTAGTAGTTGACAGCAGTGCTGATGCAGTAAGCGGTCCAGACAGTTATCTGCATTCTTAGGATAAAGGTTCGCTATAAGGTAGCAATCTGTATGTGAAAAAGTGTAGTTAATTACCATTCATTGGAGTTGAATGCACATCAAATTTTGACCTGAGAATAGTGAATCATTGCTCTTACGTTTTTTTCATGTTCGTAACGTATGCGGCTATTTTGTCGAAAGCCAACTGCGGATAGAATTTCATCTAGCACGCGATAAAAATTTAGAAGACATTCCATGATAGCATCTGTAGGGGTAGTTTCGGAGTTAGTTTTCAGTATATCAGTTGCTACGTTCATATTGTAGTCTTCACCACATTTGACTGTATTGAAGCATGTCTATATAAGAATGTTTTTAAACCTTGCAACCTTACATTCTCCACGTAAACCATTGACGAAGGCATACAGAATGTGTTCACAAGGCAATCGGAAGTCCCAAAAGTCTTCGCACTGGCATACTGCAGCACACACGTCCGCATCGGAGCAATCAGTTAAGTCCGGTATTAGTTGACAATGGCTTCTGCAAACAATGTCCGTGGTGTAGACAGTAAGTTTCCTAATCTTCACGTGAAGGTTGTCGGGTACCTAAGCAGACGAAGAAAATTAGGGTGAAAACGTGCAACCTATACTGGAACATTCACTAAATCGCCGCAACACTTGCAGCTGTCTCGCGTCTACAGAAACCGAGCATTACGCAGCTACTTATGCCTGAACTATTCGTTACGACAAACTGGTAAAGAGGGTATCTGTGGGGTGACCATTACTGCAGATGATATTCACTTTGCAAGTAGAGTCCATTTCCGGACAGTTACGGTAAACCTTCACCTGCACCTTCCGACTGAAGCGAATTATATTAATTCTTCCCTTCGAACACAACTAACTCATTTATTTCGGGTACCGTCAAATATCTTTGCCTTCACTTCTTTCAAATCCTTATTTGTAACATATTTACCAAATTTAGGAAGTACAAGTCACTGCAATTCAAATGCCGACGTACTGCACTCCATGAAAGGCTTCAGATACAATATTTCGTTTTCTGATATGTCTGGGACTGGAGTCTACCACCATGAACTTTTGTGTACAGCGATGACTGTCTTCCTTTGGTGCATGGAACTAGGCGCTAAATGTTTACACGTGTGGCACAAAAGGATGAGTGGCATTCCATGTATTAGAAACCTATAGGGATGTAAAGAAACGCTTAGAAAAGCGCTTACGGCGTTCTCAGTTTGAAATTACGTGATGTATTACGCCTTTTCTGTCCAAAGGTACAAATATACATCACGAATTCATCGCGGTACTCAGTTACTATGATTTCTTCGACTAACCTTCATTACATAGTGGGTATGAGCCTCCTGCAATTCAATAACGATCTCATGAGGCGTAATGTCTTACGTTACAATACCTTTCTGAGCTTCGAAAACGCCTCCTGGAATGCCTCCAAACTTCTAAAACGCATGGACATCAGAACTATCAAACACTCCGGTCAAATCGTCAGACATTTTGCCCGTAGCTAAAAATACTCTTTTGGCTCATAATGAAAAGGATAATGATCCAACATCGACAGTCCCAGTAGAGGAAACTGGTAGGTTTGGAGCTCTAGCTACTAGGTCTTGAGGCTTGGTTCTTTTTGTTCGGTTATACTCCTTCCGTAGTCACATAAGTGTTTACAGTTTTTGTACTTGTAGCTGTGGAGGTAGTGATTGTCTTTTTGAAAGTTTTGTACAAACTGTAGGGTGGTTTGTTTAGAGAAGTAACGGAACTGCTGATGAAATCGATTAACATTTCGCGATTTTTTTTCGTAAGCACTTGTAAGTAGGTATTAAGTGTTAATTAAAAGGTAGTGCGAGAAATATGGTGGGTGGGGAATGAGAAAAGAGTAATAAAAAGTTCTTATGGAAAAATATGGGTTACTAGTAATAGTATGGAGAACGGACGGGTATTATTATATTTACTAGGGTTGGAGAATACAAAAATGGATGAGCATGCCTTCATTTGCTGCTGGAGAATGTTTATGGTAAGCTATTCACGCTCATGCATTTATCGAGCAGTCGTTTGAAGAAGTCAATTGATGCATCTGTGGCTACTTTCTTCGTCAGAGCGTTTCATATGGCACACAGTGTGAGAATTTAGGTCACATTCTCGTTTTCGCCCTATGGTGACGTGTGAAAGGAGTAGCCGGGAGACTGTCGGTTTTGGACTGATGTTGTCTATTTGGAGCGATCCACTCGGTGGATGGTCTTGTACGCCGCTATTAGGTCGCCTATTTTCCTTCGACAGCTTAATGTAAACAAGTTGAGTCGTCTAAGACGTTGTGCATATATTTTGCCTGTCAGTCTGACAACCGATTTTGTCGCCTTTCCCGACAGTACTCACGTCCCTCTTCAGAAGAGCGGGGTGCTATCATGTTGAATACTTATAGGTGTGCTGTAACATAGGTACTATGAGAAATAATTCAGGGGTTAGGATTCCAAGCTGCTTTTTCAGAAAGTATATGATAGCATTCGCCTTTTCGCCCATTCCGTTATAATTGGCACTAGTATCCAGTGTGTCACAGAGGTTTAGTCCTAGGTTCTCTGTGGATGTCCTGGTGATTGCCCACTTGTTGAGGGTATAGCAGGTTTTCATGGCTTCCGGTGTGCGAAGACACATCACTTTGCACTTCTCCAGGTTAAAACCCAAATCATTCGCAGCTGACTAGGATTGCAGCGACAGCAGATCGTCCTGGAGTATCCTAGGATCCTCTTTCCTACATATTATCCTCCACATGTCGTTGGCAAATAGGGTAGAGGGGATTTGAGCGGGAAGGTCACTGATGAACAGTAAAAACAGGAGTGACTAAATTACTCCTCCTTATGAAACTCCTGTTCTTGCACTCCTCCAGACCGACCGAGTTGTTTACTTTCGTACAGAATTCTCTCTCCTCTAGATATGCTGTAAACCATGCTATGAGTGGTTTAATGATACCCAATTTCGCAAGTTTAGTGTCCACGGTGTAGTGTGGGACGCTATCAAAAGCATTGGCCAAGTCCAGTAAGATAACGTGAACTGATCGCTTGTTATCCCACCTATTGGTTCAGTCATTCTAAGCGATCATCAAGTTTGCGGTACATAGCCGTTCGGTTCTGAAGCCGTGTTGGGTGGGATGAACGATGTTGTTCCCACTCAGGGTAGTCCCAATCATCAGCAGACACGCTTTGCAGTATTTTGGATAGTATGAGAAGTAACGTCACAGGTCTGTTACTGCATAGGTTTTTTCGGTCTTCCCCTTAAAGATTGGCGAAATGATAGCACCCTTTTATTCTGCAGGGGGTCGACTTACTTAGAACAAGTGCGTGAATACTCAGCAATACGACACGATTCCATAGGACCACCGGCTTTATCTCATCACAGCTCGAAGTGCTGAGAGTTTCGCAAGCATTTCGTCTAACGAAATCTTTACGTTCATCAGCCTTATATCGCAGTCCTGGGACTTTGGTACATTACAAGATGTTGATGGCAGATACACTACTGTGTTGAGCCGCTTGTCAAGTTGGGTGCTCAAGAGTTCCGCCATCTCACTGATACACGCGAGTTTTCTGGGCGATCCTGTGATCAGGTTTAAACCTTTATTCGTCCATTTTCGTTGTGACATAAACCGATATAGGCTTTCTGGGTTGTGGCTTAGCTATTTGGCCGGATTACTCCGGTATTTGCACCTGTCATTACGAACACATTACGTAAGTTGCGTAAAGTCTTGTAACTAAGAAAGTCTGATTCCTTTTAAGATGTGCACCACCACCATGCCACTTTTTTCCCACGTACTTGCCTTTGAGTTGCACGAGCTACTCAAAACCGTTTGAGAGGTGGTCGTCTCGTTTATTTCGGAACACTTCGATAGCGCTCCAGATAATATCTTGATTATATATTCAATCTTCGTCCATCGATGGGTAGTGCCATTCTTGTGACCATGAAGCGCATAGGAATTCATTATCAGTGAGCTGGATGTCTGCTTTCCGGCAACAGCGGAACGCTTCTGGCTCAACTAATGACAGTTGCTCTGTGATTATCGAGGAGAATCTCACCAATGCGTGATTGCTTTTTCCTAGGGGGGGGGGGGTGGACACATTGTCCACCAAAAGATCATTATCTGTTAGAAAGCAGTTAAGTCGTGATTTTTTTGTATTTTGTCCCGATCGGGTGTTTTCTCTGTTAATCCCACTCCTATAAGTGTATTTCAAAGTCTGTGTTCAAAACATTTATTTCAAAAGCTTACTTCCTATCCCGGGTAAAGTGCCTGTGTTAAAGTTTCCAGCAGGGACTACGTAGGCCTAGGTTGCAGAGGTGGACGTCGAGATAGCAGTGAGCACTTTTTTTCCTCATACTATGTTATGCATAGCAGAAACCTGCATAACACTTCTAATAAGTACTTTGTTTGGTTGGTGGTGAAATAGCACAACGAGGAGTCTGGCAATTGGTCAAATATATTAGTCGCCTCCTTGACTTCTAGGTGGGTACTAAGATACATGGTGAGTCCTCCTTTTTCTCTGAACTCTATGCTCTTTCAGAAAAAGATCATGTTAGGTACAGTCACTTACTGGTCCGAGATGTCTCATGAGGGGCCACATTCTGTAATAAAATAATATCTGCATGTAGCTGAGCACATCTTTAGCTCTAGTAATTTACTTTAAAGACCCCTTACATTACCGTAGAAGCATGTTAAAAAGCTACGTTAAGGGCTGTGGGGTACGGCAACTTGTGTGGAGGTTGTTGTTGCTGTTGCACCGGATGCTGGTTGTCGGTCTTCACCAGAGTTAACTCTTTGGTGCTTCAGCCATTGATACATTGCCACTCGTTTCAAACAGTGTAAGAGGCTTAGCACGTCGCGTTTCCATTACAGTCAGCCTCAGCTACGCTTTCACGACGGTCAGCAGCTTAAGTACGACTTTACGATCTGCTACTCTCAAGAAAATGTCCTGTTAGTTGGCCTTTGACAATGGACGACATTAAAACAGCCACCTAAAAAGCACATGCTACTGGCTATAAAGGTCTGTATGTCATATGATGTCCTGCTTATTTGAGACTCGTTACACTTCTTTGAAACTGACGTGCAACTTGAGACGTCAGTAGGTTTTCCAGCGATAGCCCCTTAAATTACAAAATCTACCACGTTTATGTCACTTTTTAATCATTTTACATGTGATTTGAGTACCGTTTTACGTACATTTCCTGCATTATTGACACAAAAACACCCATAAGGCTGTATAGCAGCGTCACTCACCTGTATAACGACAGTAGCATGGTGAAAGTATCATGCACCACAGCATGTAAAGGAGTTTAGTGAAGTCTAATCATACAAAAACCTTTTTTTATGCACTGAAGTACTTCAGTGCATATGTAACGAAAACAATGCTTTTTGTTCATGCAGTCTATGATGAATCCCGCGCAAACCCTTACTAATTAGTAAGGGTACTTCAAACTTAAGTTTGAAGTGCCTTCAATCCCGAAAATTTCGCCAGAGCACACATAATAATGTGTATTTCTCAGGCAAACAGAATGATCCCTATTAATAGGGGAAATTCCCCCAGCATTCTCCGAAATTGGACTGTACATGAACAAAGCTTGATGTCATTCACGCAGAGCTACGCGAAACAAATAATAAAATCGACTGATCAACTGATAAAAATTTGAACTGGAAGTGCGTCACTACCTTACGCTACGAGGTCTCCATTAAATGTCTTAGGTGTAGTTTTAGGGAGAAGAGGTAAATCAGTAGACAAGGTTATGAACCTTCATAGACTGAGATGGTTGGGACACATACTACGTATGCCCAGTCACCGATTGCCTCGTCACACAATGTTGGCCGAAGTAGGTCTAGGCTGGAAAAAAGCCCGAGGTGGCCAGACTAAAACATGGCACCAATGTATGAAGTCTCTGACTGTTGGTTTAAGCCATGTAGGGCGATGCAGACTAGGTGGTTGGGGTCTGCTGGACAAGAGGAACCAGTGGCTGAAGACTCTAGGGGACATGGCTTAGAATTGATGTGAGTGGCGTAGATGTTTACACACATTATCCTCATCTTAACTACGCTATACCGAATCTCACCACTTTCTCATTCTTCGTTTCTCTCTTCTCGTACTTTATATTTCTTTTGACTGCATTTTCTTATCTTCATCCTTCACCTTACTACCTTTCTACTTGATGTACTGAAATGAGCTGCGGCAACTCGGACAGTTACGCAGTAATGCCTGGTCCTGTGTTGATACTGATTGATTGATACAATGCCTTACTTTGAGAGTGACAGTAAGAACCACTCTAGCAACCGCTAACGTAACCAATTGTTGTTCCTTATTCTATAGAAAACTGAAATCCCGGACAGAATGCTGAAAACCGGTTGGTTATTCCAGCAGTTTCCAAATTAACCCTTAAAGTTAAACTTACCTTCACGTTTAGGCCACTTCAAAAGAAGCGGTTACATACTTTTCAAATATTTCAGATTCAGATTTGTCACATTTGTTGTCTGAGGAAAGGAAGCTGAGGGCCTATGATAATCCTTTTCCAGTAGATTTCTGTGCTTGTCCAGCCCCCATTTTAATGAGTCAATTGATGATGCGGACACCACTACTTCTGAGAGTCGGTTCCAGGCGTTGATTCCTCGACGCCAGAACCAGTACTCTGCTGAGACTATGTTCGTCCTTTACTTTGGTAGTCTCTTCTATGTCCTTTGAGGTGTGCCGACCTAGCGGGAAGATAAATAGAAAATAGATCAGTCCGAAGTCATTTCTTAGAATCCTGTATGGCATCATTAGTTCTCCCCTCTGTCTGTGATAGGACAAACTGAAGAGATTCGGCTCCTTAAATCTGTCTTCATAGGTGAGGCCAGCCACCACATGGACCATACGAGTGGCTACCATCTGAACTCTCTCTAGAAGGTCTACTTCTCCCTTCAGACAAAGATTAGCCGCGTGTGTATTCTTTTTTTATTATTTGTCCCTTGGTTTCCTAGTGGAACATGCGGCTCCAGTAACATGTCGCCATTCCACTCTGTTCCCTGCAGTCCTTTGAACCTGGCTGCACGACTGCCCACAAGCTCTCATTTCTTCCTCGCACGGTCTCCATGTCACCCTCACCTCGAAAGCCCAACTCGCCGTTTCCCATCTGGGTTCCACTCGAGTATCTGGCCTGACGCGTGATGTCCCCGAATGGTCTTCTCCGTGTATGCCCAATCCATCTCCACTTCCTTCTGCATATTTGCTGAGCGATAGGTCCTTGGTTGGTTTGTTGCCAGCCCGCCCAGTTCCTTCAGTAACGAGCGCAGGCAGCCGTTGATGGATACCTGTGGTTTGTTGGAAATGCCTTTCGTAAGGCGCCAAGTCTCTGAACCATATGGAAGCACTGACTTGACTGACATTGGTGTTGAAAATCCGGATCTTGTTCTTTACGCTGAGTGGAGTCGAGTAGATCTCCGCACCGGTTAGAGGCTGATGAACGCCTGTCCTGTTGTCCTTCCGATCCTGGCTTTGACGTCCTCGTCTGTGCCGCCTGTAGTTGAGACAGTGCTGCCTAGATAGGTGAAAGAGGCTACTTCCTGTAAGTTTCTCCCGTTGGTGGTAATTGGAGCTTGCTGTTGTTGTTGCTTGGGTATCTTGATCGGCTATATCTTCTCTATATTCACTTGAAGTCCCGTCTTCGCTACTCTGCCTCTTCTGTCAACTTGTTAGTTTTCGCCTGTAGATCTTCAAGTCTGTACCACAAGACATTAGGTGGGCGGAATCCGAAGCTTCTGGGGTCTTTTCTTCGGTCTAGCCAGCGTGAGCCCATCTTCTTGCTCCTCACGGTTCGCTGCATGATCCAGTCCACCGCAATCAGGAAGATCGTAGCCGATAGTAGGCACACTTGTCCTACTTCTACCTGTTTCCACTTCAAAGGCGTCACTGAGTTTTCTATTGTGCATCGGTTGGCATGTGGCGTCTTCATATAGTTGCTGATTGAGGTTGATAGAGACTAGTGGCATTAAACTGTTGTGTTGAAACAACTGCCAAATACTCGTCGGTCGACGCTGTCGAGGGCCTTTTCAAAGTCGATGAAGTTGAGGTGGAAAGTTGACTATCATTCAATTCTCTGTTACGTGACGATGCTTAGTGTAGCTCTGCAATTTGATCTGCATATGATTTGCACTTCCTGAAGCCAGCCAGCCTGCTCCGGCCGTAGTTTTGAGTCCACTGCATCCCTTAGTCTCTCCAGGATGATGTGACCTAATATTTTGCTTAGGGTGGACAGAAGTGGAGCGTGATTCCGTGCCAGTTCTTGCAAACACTGAGGTCGCCCTTCTACGGCAGTTTGACAAGATAGCCCTTTTTCCAACCCACCAGCAGATACTTACCCTTCCTTCCTTGCAAACTTTCAGCAGCAGTGGTGTGAGCATGTCCGCTGTTGTCTCTGAGTCTGCTCTTAGCGCTTCTGGTGGGACTCCATCTGGTCCCACACTTCAGTAGCTTGATGGTGCTCAGGACTTCCACTTTTGTTGGAGGATCTGTGTTCACTTGTAGTTCTGTGGCTGGGCTGCAGGTGGTATTTCTGGGCGAAGTGTAGGTGGGGTGATGGTCGACTCAGGAGCTTTCCGAAGCGGTCGGCCCATCTTTTCCTTTGTTTCTCTCCTTTGGTAATTGAATTTCCTTCATCATTTTTTACTGGTTTCAGCTGCGTTGATCTCTCCCCCCACAGATAGTAACCTGGTTATTTGATGCGACATTGTCAGGTCTCTCCTACCTGCAGCCTGTTCTGCCTCAGTTGCGAGTGAGTCGTAGAAGTGTCTTCCGTCTTTGCTCTCACTCTTCTTCGCTTCTTTGTCCACTGTCTTATAGGTTGTACTCAAAACCTCTTCTCGTTGCTCATCCTTGCGCTGGTTTACCTTCTGCTTCACCATCCTCCTCTCCCCTATCAGCTTCCATGTATCCGTCGTATGTGCGCAGTTTTCTAATTTAGACTCGACTAAGGATGTCTGTAAGATGGTGAACATGTCACCACTTATTTTCGTGAACGTTCTACGTAGTGCCCAGAGAGTCCTAAAACTCCGAGCTGCTACCAATCTACAGTGAGCCGTGATTTTCAGGTCATAACTAACCGTAAATCCTAGGTCATTGTGGGTCAGCACTGACGGTAAAGGAGTCCCATCAAAATCGTAGGTGTTGTTGTGTGTGTGTGCCCTGAGTGTATTCTCACACATTTACCTGCACTGATAGGCATCAGCCACTTCTCTGATCACGTAAACAAGCTGTTCAGGTCTGCCCGGAGTGCGCGCATATCCTCGTCGTTCCTACTTTGTCGCCAGATTTTTACATCATTAGCACGGAGAACCATAGGGGATTTTTTGATGTTTGGTAGCTCATTTAAGCATAAAGGAAGCAGTAAAGGGCCCAGGACTATGCCTTGTGGCACTCCACTCTCTACCGACTTCCAAGAGGAGAGTTGAGAATTGATTCCAACTGCTAGTCTCCTACCGGCAAGAAAGTTTCTTGTCCATGCCGGCAGACTGCCAGACTCCAAAACTTCTTAATTTTCTGAGCGACCTGGAATGATGTACTTTGTCGAACGCCTCACTAAAGTCAATGAAAATGACGTCCACAGGTGCCCTATCACCTTCAGACCCAACTTTCTCTGACTGTAAGGAGGTTCGTCAAGCAAGAGAAGTTCCTGCGAAAGCCGTGCTGTGAACGAGATAATGGAGTGTTGCTCTCCAGGTGGACTATGATGGCTCTCTTGATTACTCTTTCTAGGATTTTCACTACAGTACCAGTCAAACTTATCTGTCTGCAATCTGACGGAAACCACCTAGAACCTGCCTTGTGGATAGGTGTTACTGTGGCATCCTTCCAGTCACAGGGGAGTGTGCCTTCACTGAGAGACAGTCTGAATATAGTAGTCAGTGGGCCGGCTACATAGAGTGCAAATTCCCTGAGCAGCCTTGGGTGCAGATCACCCGGTCCCGTTGATTTTTCCACATCATGAGTACTTAATGTCCGAAGTACATCATTATAATCGACATTCACAGGGTTTATTCTGTTGGATATCGGTGCTTCTACTGCTGGATAATTGTTTACAGAGGATTCCTGTGTGAAGACTTCAGTAAACTATTCAGCCATGGCCTCTGCTTTTTCCCTATCGTCCTCAACCAAACAGTCATTTTCTGTCCCGTTGACCAGGGCGGGTATACCACGACACGTCAGGTTAGTAGCTTCCATATTTGCTTCCCATATGTTGGGTCCAGCTAGGGCATCGGCCTAGTACAAGACGTCTGCTGTGAGTCTGAAGGCGGTCACAGCGTGATCACTTTTACCAAGGGGTGCTAAGTGCCGGATGAAGCACACATCATCTGAATGTGAGAATACTAAATCCAGAACTGATGAAGCATGCTGATGATCATTTCTGGTCCATGTCCTAATGTGCTACGTAAAGGCCAAGTAAACTGACGAATCCATGGGCCTGTGGTCAAACGAATTACGTGGTGCTTTTGTCGTCAACCTATTCCAGTCAACTGATGGTGCCCTGAAGTCCCCTATAACTGAACATCAGCATCTATCTGTCCAGAGGGTCAGCTTAGTTAGCAGGAAGCCTGCTGCCTCACATTCAGGGCTTCGAGATATCATGACTACGTTAACATCTTGTCCCTTGCTTTTTAGTCCGCAGCGCAGCATTCCAAACGCCCCGCTTTCATGTGCAACTGTTTTTACGGCTTTTACAGTTAAGTTATTCTTAACGTGAGGGATGATAACACCACCTGTGCCTGCTAAACTGTCACTTCTAGGAGGGACGAACCCTCGTAAATGTGTTGCACAGTCGCTGATCCAAGAATAGAGCCAAGTTTCTGGGACAGCAATGATATCGGGGCTTTCGTTGCTTATCGCATTACTAAGTTCAATCCACTTGTTTAAAAGACCACGCGCATTTGTGTACGAGACAACGAAACTACTTGAATGGGTTTCCGTCTGATTCACAGAGGCTTCGGCTTCATTTGTTGCCGAAAACTCACCACACGAAAACGTACTACCTTCAGACCTTGCTCTCTAGCTGCTAATCAGGATCTTAGTTCTACTCCTGCTTCTCGGTTTTTGATTCCATTGGCAAGAGCCAGATCCTTTCGCATGAACACACCAGATCCTTGAAGTCGCAAGAATTTTTCAGAATCTGATTCCTCCCGTCTGCTGACCTGAACATGACTTTAAGTAGCCGGAACTTATTTTCACTGATGACTGTCTCTTGTTTTCCTACTCCATGTATCCTGATCAGGGTGACTCCTGGCATATCTTATGGTAAAAGCTGGTATATCAGACCTTGTACCCTTCTAAGGTCATGTTCGAAACGTTCGCGTGGCTGCAGGTCTCTGCTTCCTTCCACTTTGTGGAAGATTACGGACCTGTCAAGGAGCTCTACTTTGTCTTTGCTATGTGGAGTGACGGTAGCTGGT